AAATAATAATAAATAATAAATGGAAGAATGACTGTACACCCAATGGGGGATTTGAACAGTTCTTGCCATTTGTATATTATTTGGCACAATGGCTGTGAATATATTCATGTAATAACAGAATAAACCGAAAAAGAGATTTCTTTTTTACCAGAGAATTTATTTACACCAATTTGCATGGTTGTGTGTGTGTGTGTGTGTGTGTGTGTGTGTGTGTGTGTGTGTGTGTGTGTGTGTGAGAGAGAGAGAGAGAGAGAGAGAGAGAGAGAGAGAGAGAGAGAGAGAGAGAGAGAGAGAGAGGTGTGTGTGTGTGTGTGTGTGTGTGTGTGTGTGTGTGTGTACATACATACAGTAATAGCATCAGTGCTGTGGGTCTGTGGTTCAGATACCTGCACACAGCTTCACTGATATCTTTAATAAAGGCCAGTTGGCAGAATACCTCATTAAATGCTCCATCACGAGTCATCCATCAAACCCTGGCAAGCAGACATAATAAAAGTTTTAAACACTTCAATGCCTCTCCCGTGGCTCTGTACCAATAAAATATGCATAGAGTATGGATTGACTCCAATATCTGCCCGCTGTTTCAAACTCAGCTGTAAGGGATCTTACTAATTGGAGCAGAAGAGAGGATGAAGTAAACGTACAAAGTAAACACTGAGTAGACTAAAGAACAAATCTGTAGGGAAACATCACAACATCTGGTGTCCTCAGGGGAGTGCTGCCCCCATTAATGGCATGACATGACATGTCATTGATCAACTAACCAATATAATTATCATGAGGTTGATTAAGGGTGTGAGTGATTGGCTTTCATGCCCTTCCTCCTCTGACACATTAACACTGATTGGCCTGTTGAAGTCAATAGGACAAGAAGCCAGGTTACCCATGACAGACGGTACCATTGTACCACTTTTAGCCTCATTCAATCACTTCAACAGTGAGGTTTAATTAGAGTTAACAAATCCTGATTGCTGTTTTTTCCCACCAGTTTTCCCCCCTCAAGAAGCCATCTCACAGCTAAATATTTGTCCACCACTCCAACAAGATTAAAATGTTGAAGCCAAAAATTATTGACCAGCCGACTGAAAGGTATGGTTTTTGTGTCTCTTACAATTTGAAAGCGCCTTCTCTTACTTTAATCCTCTGAAGATCAAAACCACTTGATTTGCATATTCTTGCTTTCCAAGAATCTCCACAAGCGTCCCAACAATGATAAACCCGTTTAAGTGACACATACTGTTTTTCTAAGCCATAGAGGTGATGAAAGTACAGTAAATGTAAATCTGAAATTAAACCCTCTATAATCCTATTAAATATTTTATGTTTTGTGGAGCATGTCCAATGATGACCAACTCCCGGAAAACCTGTGCCTCTAGACGTGATGAAATAGTGATAGGAACTGGGACGCCATAAAATGAACTGAGAGTTAGACGATGTTTGACAGCTAAGGAATAAACAGAGGACAGGGTGTGAAAAAGAAGGGGACAGATGCAGTGATGAAAAAATTGACAGTGACACCCACTGGGTGACTGATTTTTGTCACCCTTTCTACTGTCATTTTCTCTCTGTGTGCCACTCTGACTCCCAAAAAATCATGTTCACATGAAAAAACATTTGTGTAAACAAAAGCGTTTGCACGAATGTATGAATTGTTTAGGCATCTTGGTTAAATATTTAGGAAGTCAGTCCTGACTCAAAAACAGAGATGGGTCACCTTGACACGTTCAGTATTTTACCAAAACTACAATCTCTTCCTAACCATGACCCAGTGTTTCACAAGGCTGACAACATGCAGGAAGCCGAATTCACATTCTGCTCTCCAGCCTTAAAGTCCCGCAGTATTAATGTGTGTGCTTCATCTGTGTACATACTGTAGGTGTGAATATATTGTTAGCTTGAATGTATATGATAATGTGCTCTTACTTGCCTTTCTGTCAGTGTGCATGACCATACATTGGGACATCAAGCTTATCTCTGTCACCTTTCCATATGCATATGACCTTTTCTTCTTCTAAAGAATGTTTTCAAAGAGGCTTGGACTGTGTATTCGTGTGAAACATGTGAAACGAGAAAGAAATGGATATCTGATCAGTCATTGAAAAAGGAATTTTAATCTAGAATTAAAGACGTAAAACCAGCAATTGCTATCTAAAAATGTAACTCAGATAACTCACTTCCATAGCAGTTGGTATACAAAATGTACAGAACAAAACCAAAGAAATCCATAGGGCATGTTCTATGGTCAGATTATCAGTGTTGGAGGCGTGCTGCGCTCTGTCTGAAGGGAAAGAAGGTAATGAGGACTAGGTGAACCTGCTGGGACAGCAGGGTTACAGCTTTCCTTCAACAGCCCACAACATTAACAGCTTTGGGCTTCATGGACTGTCAGCTCTTTCTGGTGGACTTTCTGTCTGGATGCCACATTTGCAAAACCTGTGAAATGTGAAGCCAGGACTGTGAGCCTTCATCCTATAACTTGTTGCTCCCTCCAGAGGAAATGATAGCTGACATCACCAAACTGGTACATCTGCTGTCATCACAGAGGTGCTGGTGATGCCACATCATCTGTCAGTTGCCTCTACTAATGGAAACCGATGAAAGCAGGGCCTGTAAAGTGGATGGACTCTGGATGTCACACCAGATTTGTCTGTATATATTATTCTCTCATCTGATTTGTGGGGCTATATGTTTTCATATAAACAGAGAGAGAAGAGTGTTTACTGTTTGGGCTGCCAGAGGGGACTGGAGGGGTGTTCAATGTGACTTCTACTTGACCTTCGAAGATGTAATTCAACCAAACATCTCAATCTAGTCTATCCATCTATCTGTCTACAGAATACAGTATCTTAACTTAGCAAACATAGAATTCAATGCAGTGATGGATGTGAACCCTTCCATATTAAGTGGCTGCTATCTTTGCTCTGAGACAGCAATTTCACACTGGATCAAATAAGACAGAAAAGTGCTGCTGCACAGTTTCTTGTTGATTGAAACTTTCAAACATGTAGCTTTTCTAAACACCCCCAATCAGTGATTTCCCAGCAGGAGTTCTGCCTGTGGCAGACAATAGAAATCTCCTGCAGGGACACCAGTGATTGAGGTGAGGCCAAAAATTTCAACCCATAGAGAGACCCTTATCTAACAGTAATTTTCTCTTTTGAATTCCCTAATGAGTAATTCCATTGTTTTCATTACATTAACATTCATAAAGGAGCCTGACCTATTTATTAGGGTTCTGCAAAATATGTGGCTTAGCAGGATGATTAATAGTGTATCTTGAACAACTAGAGTACTATGAAATTGTTACACTTACTCACTAAGACACAGGCTCCTTTCTTTAATATTGTGCTTCTTACAGTGGCACTTCCAATGCTGTATAAGCCTGGCTGGTTGTCAAAACAAAAAATAGTCTGGATAAAGCTTTGTTAAAGTAGCCTATTGTAGCTCTGTAATCACACACATACACTCACAACAATCCTTTTCTAATTCAAAAGCCTAAAGCAATATGACGGAAGAGGTACAATGGCAGACCCTTACACACACACACACACACACACACACACACACACACACACACACACACACATACAGATAGCAACACAGTGCCTCTTGACATTCACTCAGAACTTCATGTGCAGCAGTGGCACATACTACACAATTTCTCTCAATTCTCACTAATATCTGTATTACCTGTGGGCTTGGTATAAAGCCCAAGCAAGATTTTTTACTGGACACTTGCCAGAAGACCCACAGTTGAAGTGTCTTGTACAAGTTTTACAGTATCGTTAAAATATTCATTTTAACGCTTTTAATTAATCCTGCAGGGCTGCTTCGCTGGTTTTTACATTTGAATCCTATCACTCTAATGTGAAGAAGATGTGGAAATCTGACATAAAATATTTTATGGGTCCCTTGATTTCTTCATTTCCTAGAAAAGAAATAATATGCAGTTTTTATTTCTTAAAACATTTCCTGAAAATGACTTTGACATTTGGTTGAGCAATTTCAAGCTACTGAAGTGAGCCAAAAGTAAGTAGTGAAACCCTGAAGCTTAATGGTCAGCAGCTGAACACATACGTCTACAAAGTTTGTCTTCCTTAACATTTTGGGAACTAGTTTCTACCAAATTGTAACCACCAGTGAAAACTGCTTGTCATGTGGGATGTGTGTTAATTTGATTTGTTGTGGTCTGTGTGTATTTGTTAGGTGCATAAATACAAGGATAGATCAAAGAGCTTGGATAGGACTGGTTATTGTCCGTGTGGGGGTGCAGGAAGTCTCCATCCAGACTAATGTGTCTCTGCCTCTAATTAGCCTACAGGACCACACACACAAAGGATACACACTAACAGAGTGACATTTAAACACTGCATCATCTTCCTCTTTATATCTGAAAACACAGACCTCAAAGGCTTTGTGTTCAGGTTTGACTGAACCTACCAAAGAGCAAGCAAGGACTCCTAAGATAAACCTACCCCAGAGAGTAGATGTGGGCTACTTTAGGTCGCTATTAATTGCTTGTTCTCTGAAGAAATAACAAGATTATGCCAGTACCAGTAATTGGCATACAACAGGTGGGCATGTTAACCCATTCATTCCCCAAACAACCTCCAACTCTGAAGTGGATGCTCTCTACCTCCATCTCTCCTGTAATGAAGCACGACTTCAAAACAAGCCACTCACCCTCCAGTTGATATTTGTTTTTGGTGGTCAGAAAGAAGAAGACATGAGTTTTCTGCTGTGTTTCTATGTGTGTTATTTTATTAGACCAGCACAGTAAAGTACCTGTGTTTTAACATTTACCCACTAACTGGAAACTCGTTTTCTGTTTGTTTTTCTCCATAGTCAATGTAAGCATAAAATGTAATCACTTACAGGTTAATGCAATGTGTTAAGTTGAGCTATTTTGTGGTGTGGTGCCACTGGTTCATTTTTCCCCCATTTTGTAAGGGGCTGGTTCCCTGCGCGCGCACTCTCGGTTCTCTAATTGGTGCGCGCGCTCTTGTGCAAAGGTGGATGCTCGGCTGGTCGCTGCTGCGCAGCTCAGAGGAAACTTGTGCTGTTGAAACTTTGGAAACATCGTTAAATGTCTTTCACATAGCTAAATATATTTAAAGTATATGCTGCTCACGAACTGTCCCAATGTCTGACGAGGGAGAGGAAAGCGACAGCGGCGAGAGAGGGCATCTCTCAGAGTCTCCCTCCCCGCCTCTGTCCGTTTGTCTTCCCCGAGGATCTCCTTCCTCTCCGCGGCCCCTCGACCTCTTCTCCTCCGCTTCCCCGCTGCTGGGGGACACAGATCCGCCCTACCTCGCCTCTCCGGAGTGTCTTCACCCGTCTCCAGAGAAGCGGGAACCCGGGGAGTCCCCACACCTCACACCGCCAAAGTTCCACCTGAGCACCGGGGACGCCGGCTCTCCGTTTCGTTCGCGGCAAAATGTGCGGATAGATGCGGTGTACGACAGCTACGATGACCCGTTTCCCAAGTGGAGAGGACGAGGAGCGGCGAACGCGGAGCGCTTTCAGCACCGCGGACAGAGACTCCAGCGGGCTCCGGAGCTCTCGGACCACGGGAACCACTACTCTGTTGAGCACATCGACACCGAGTTCAACTCCGAAACCAGGCAAACGTGAGTCATCCCATAACCTTCACCCACAACTTTTATTCATGTATTCTGAAACATGATAAATAAGTAAAGTGGCCGGTTTCGTGGCCTTGTGTAAAGTCCATGTCATTATTTCTAAACTCTGCAGTTGTCTGTTATTTGCAAAGAGGCGGCTGAGCTTTAGCTTAGAAATGGCAAAGCTGTTCTGAGTTGAGAGAATTTAATCAACAGCAACTAATCCACCTGGAATGTCAACAAGTAGAGGTCAGGGAGAGTAGAGTCAAGCAGCCAGGATATACACTGGGCCAGCTGCATTCACCTGTCTGAGCAGCTATGGACCAATGATTGACACTCAGCTGTGCTTTACAGGTCCTTCATGGATTACATCAAGGGAACTGTAATGCACAGTCGATTAGTATTACTGGAAGACCATATATTTAGCCAAACACATGTTTAAACTTTCTTTTGCTGTTTTTAATTTAATTTTTAACTTATCTGGTGCTGAAATATGATATTTTTCTCCGTCCCTCCGCATTCTGTTGAGGCTAAGTGTGTGTGGCTGGTGTGGTTAGACAGTAATGTGTCCCCTGTGAATGCATATATATACAGGATGCATATACAAAGAAGCGAGGGGTGTGTGAGTTTAAATGAATTAGTGTGTCATCTGAGCTTTTCCACTACAGCTCTTATCTTGTCCTTGAGTTGAGAGAATGCATCTTGATTGGTTCCGGTGCATGAATGCATAAGCAGCTGTCAACAGGGATTGTGTGTGTATGTGTGTGTCGTGTGTTAGTCTGAGTAAGAGAGAGACACCAGGGTAAGACTATGTGACACTGAGCTGAAGCAGACTACAGAAATCGGCTTGCACAGTACATCCCCAACAACATCTTACTCATCACACACACATACAGTAAAAACCCTGATTGGCAACCTCTTGGCTATTTTTGCAAAATGTAGTAAGGTGTATAATTTCACTCAATTTTCCTATACGTTTAACTGCTTGACTGTGAGATAAGTGCTCACAGGACCATTTGGTGGCTGCAGTCCATTGCATCCATGCAGGAGGCCACCACAAAGGGGACATAGCTGGTGACAAAGAATGGATATGTGGCACTGCCAGCTTTGCTATGACAGATTTTGAGAATGGCAGGCCTCAGTGTTGGTCTTTGATCTTTCTGCCCCTTTGATACACCAGTGTTCAACTTAAAAGCCTTGCATGGAAAAGAAGCATGTATGCTCTCACTGATGCCTGACAAGGCTAAATGTTGGACACCTTGGTGTGTGTGTGTGTGTGTGTGTGTGTGTGCGTGTGTGTGTGTGAGGTAAGAGAGGGAGAACATGCCTGTTTCTCATTACCAGTGAAAAATGGTAAGCAGCTCACCTTTGATCTCAAAAATTGGCAATTTACTGCTTGAAAGAGTGTATGTGTGTGTGTGTGTGTGTGTGTGTGTGTGTGTGTGTGTGTGTGTGTGTGTGTGTGTGTTTGATAAAGAGAGGAGAGGAAGAGAGAGAGTGTGTGTAACTGCTCATGTCTGTGCACTGATAAAGTACTAACTCATTAGTGGGTTCTGTAAATATTCCTGCTGAGTCAAACTTCTTTTTCACTCATTATCCTCAAAATCTGGTTTCAAGCCTGTTTCATCTTCTTTCCCTCTTCTGTAGTTTTCTGGTAAATTACCTTACCTATTTTATTGCTTAAACTGAATATAATTACCTTAGCGGTCCAGCCTTGTGAAGTTAAGATGTATAAAAGAGGATATTTTAATCAATTCAAACCGGTAAATAACAGAATAGCCTACATTTAGATAATACAAATGTCATTGTATGCAGAAGCTGTACTATACATGTGTGTCTACATTTCATTTTTACTTCAGTGCTTTTCAAGTAAACCTCCCACCATAACCAATATGTGTTGATTTCCACTTTCTGTGTGTTCATTATTGTCATTAACTGACTGTCAAGAAAACTATGTTTCTATATGGGTTTACTTCTCTCAATGCTTTTCATTCATTTGAGTGTAACATTTCTTACATTGGTACTCACAGTGTCTTCCTGGCTTCATATCTCAACAACTGATGACAAACATTTCTGATTGTCAGCTAAAATGTGGACATTAATTTTGATAGTTGTTTATTGGCCCTTAACTCTAAAGTTTCAGAAACCAGAACTCTTTAAAGGTACCTAAACACACAAAAAAAAATGTAACTCAAAGTAGAGCCAGCTGATTATTTTTCTTTGACGGGTTACCTACTTCACCAAGGAGCTTACTTTGCATTAATAATTCCTGCCAATAAAATATAAAATGCAGTATCATTGGTGTGAAAGAATAAAAATATTATATTATATTATATTATATTTCTGCAGTATAGTTGTGATATAGTTGGAATCACCAGTAGCAGTGGTGCAAGATAGTTTCTCCTTTTTTGACAGTTAGTTGTTAATTGGAGGAGCTGCTTGCTTGGACAGGGGCTCTGAGTGATCTGCAGCAGCCTTTGACTTCAATGTGGCCTCCAAATGAAAGCTGTGTAACAGCTGAATCGGTGCAGTGTGTGGTTCAGGGATTAAAAACTGTTAACATATCATAATATTGCAGTCCATTAATGCTAAATCAAATGAAATGTGAAATGGTTGCCAACACTGTAGATCCCACTACACTACTATCAAGACCCATTTACTAAGACCCAATGCAACTTTCAGCGATTTTCAGTTTATTGGTGTTATTCTCCTGTTAGTAAGGTTGAATTCACACTCCATTTACACAAGCTGACTAAATGCTACCTGCTTAATGTGAAATGGTCGAGAATGTAAGTAAACAAGAGAGGCCAGTCAAACATCTAGCAAGCTTTATAAACCATGATATGTTTTCCCAGGCGTTTGTGAACCAAAGCAGGGACTAAAAAGGTGGGTCAATATTGGACTTACATTCAACAGGGAGGCAGGAAGATGACTGTAGTGGGATGGGATTGAGTATATGTGTATTTTGTAATAAATGGTAGTGGAAGCTCTTCTAGCATGACATCATGTTCTTCTACACCCATGTGGGAAATAATGTCTGGTGGTCTTGGTTGCAACAATGATAAAGTCCTTTCGTCTTAAGAACACTACATGATGCATGAGTACAGTCACACAGGTATATTAGCAGACATACATATACACAACTCCTTCTTCAATCACTCCTTTTTCTACTTGTTCATCTGTTTGTCTCTCTGTTCTCTTGCTTTCTCCCCACACACACACACTTGCTCTCTATCAATCCATCTCCATTGTGTCTGCCTCCTCCTATCTTTGTGATTGTAATTCCACACAGAAATGATGCAGGGAAATTCTATTTCAGATCAGAATCACAAACAGTCAGAGATGGATGGAGAGGGAGATAGAGAGGGATGGAAAATGGCGATTCATTACCTGACTATAAGGTTATCTAAATGGGCTGGCAGCCAGACTGTCCCCTCATTTATGAGGAATCCTCCCAATGCTTATAAATATCTGTGAGAGTGTGTGCATGTGTATGTGTAGGCACTGGTTTGGGGGAGATAAATAGATACCTAGAGCATAATGCATAATAATGAATCAGCAACACAAACTGTAGCCTTAACAAGAAAATGCCATATTATTATTATAAGCTCCATGAAAGCAGATTGGTATCGTTTACATCACTTTTACAGATGATATACATTGTGTCCACATTCTGTAGTGATGGTGCTGGCATCTATTCATGGGTTACCTTACTGTATCTCCACATTTGTATTCTTGTGTGTGTGTTCATTTGTGAGATAGCAATTGTGTGAAAGGGAGAGAGCGAGAGAGAGAAAGGGAAATTTTGCCATCTATTGATTGGCAGCCCAAGGCATACACAGCTGATTGTGTAAATCGAAAATCAAGAGCTGCAGACCTTTTATACCCCTTAAACACACTGACAAATACACACCCCCTCTGTCTCTCTCACACACATTCACCCACTCCCCCATACACACACACAGAGAGACACACACACACTTACACTCTCCCACAGTGATTTGCCTTGGTGAGCTCTCTCTTAATCTTCTCAGTTCCACATCCTTTGACTCCCACAGGGAATGTTTTCACCATGAGCAGGTTTCCATTTTCACCTTTTCCTTCAATGTCCAGCATTATGTCCATACACACACACACACACACACACATACAAATGCACACACACATACAAATGCACACACAAAGTAAGGGGAATTACAAATAACCTTACATGTTTTTTTTATTTTGGTGCAAGGTGCTTATTGTGAAACTGGAGTCCTATTCATTTATAAGGTCATTGCACCAATTCATAGAACACAGTCTCTCTACTCAAGTTAGCAAGTAGGTGTGATTCATTTTAGTCCACTCAATAAGAATTGTTGAGTGTGAATGAGTGACATATTAGTGTTTTATAAATTAAATGTCAAGTCTAAATTGGTTATTTCACCCAACTAAACTGTTGGGTTTAGGTAACTGAGTAACATTTTTTCACCAGCTCCACTACTAAATTCCCATTCACTTTTCATCTCAAAGCTTACCCATATCCACAATCTCTTCTTCTTCCCCTTTCTCCCTCTCTTTTTTTCCAGCTTTGGGGAAGGAACATCAAGGCTTTTTTCACACTGTGGGTCAGAGTGTCAGGCTGCGCAGCAGAAGCAGTCATTGTGACAGATCTTTGTGTTTGTAAAAATACAATAGGAGTACAGAAGTGCCAATAAAATGTGTTTTGCAGTGATGGGGGTTCTGTGCAAGGTACATCTAGTTATATCTGACAAGTCAATGAAAAACGATTTTTTTTTTTTACCGACTCTGTCCTGCTGGGATGTGACGGAGTAACACTGGAAATGGTGCTCTGTTTAGGAAGAAAAACAAGTGAAGACATACTGAATAGGAGATACATGTTAATTCCTGTGTGCGTGCATGTGTTTATAGATGACTTCTTGCCAAAGAACTTCTTTGGATGACTACTGACTCATATTGTGAATGTGTCATGCCAGAACAATTAAGATGACAGCTTCATCTCTCTCTCTTGCCAATCAAAGCTGTTAACCTGAGATGGCCCCGCAATGAGCTTTGACCCTGGTAGCCGTTCATTGATCTGGTTGGAGACAGATATATCACAGATGTCTTGGTGGCACTTTCTCTGGGGTCAGAGGAGAAGTCTGTGTTAAGCACTGCTGATTGTGTTTGACCAGTCCCTGTTCACGGGGGACATCCACAAGGGGAAGCAGTAATGACTTTGTTTGCCTTCTTACACCATAGTCAGTTTGATGTAACTAATGATGCTATCATTTCCTCCCTCCTCCATCACTTACTCTCTTGCTCTCCACTTTTCTTTGCCTCACCGTCCATCACTTCATCCCTCCTTCACTGTCTTCTCTCTTCTATACTGTCTCCAGGGTGGAAGCCATGCATCGCCGGCACACCACACTTAGAGAGAAGGGGCGTCGCCAGGCAGTGCGTGGCCCAGCCTACATGTTCAATGAACGTGGCTCCCCCCTCACTGCAGAGGAGGAGCGGTTTTTGGATGCTGCTGAATATGGAAACATTCCTGTGGTCCGCAAAATGCTGGAGGAGTCCAAAACCCTTAACTTCAATTGTGTTGACTACATGGGCCAGAATGCTTTGCAACTTGCAGTGGGCAACGAGCACCTAGAAGTGACCGAGCTGCTTCTAAAAAAGGATGGTTTGGCTAGGATCGGCGATGGTCTGCTTTTGGCTATATCCAAGGGTTACGTTCGAATAGTTGAAGCCATTCTCGGCCACCCTGCTTTTGGCGGAGGTCTCCGGCTGACTTTGAGCCCTTTGGAGCAAGAGATGCGCGATGACGACTTTTACGCTTATGACGAGGACGGAACACGTTTTTCGCACGACGTAACGCCCGTCATCCTGGCTGCTCATTGCCAGGAGTATGAGATCGTCCACATCCTTTTGACAAAGGGGGCCCGCATAGAAAGGCCACATGACTACTTCTGTAAGTGTTCAGAGTGCATGGAGAAACAGAAGATAGACTCGTTCAGTCACTCTCGCTCCAGGATGAATGCATATAAGGGCCTGGCCAGTGCAGCTTACCTGTCACTCAGCAGTGAAGACCCTGTGCTGACTGCCCTGGAGCTCAGCAATGAACTGGCAAGACTGGCCAACATTGAGACAGAGTTTAAAGTAAGATGGTTTCTTTGTTTTTCTCAAAATGTTTGCCTATTTGCACATATTTACATTCAAAATGATAAAACAGGTATACTGTAAATCTAAATAAGCATAATTTATCATTATAAGTATGATTACAGTCCTTGCATTTTAACATTCCCTGGCATTTTTTCTTTATTTTTTTAGGAGTTTATGCAGAATAGGGAAATAGTGCTGAATGAAAATTTTTAGATTTATCTCTGCCAATGATTCGACTTAGTCAGTAGGCATCTTGAATAGATTTCCCAGTGCAGTCCCAGCGTTTTATTACTTTTCTGAACTACCCATTACCAATGCAATGTCTCTCCTCAGCTTGTGGTTAAATAAGAATTGTAAACAGTTTCTTTGATGAAAAATATGAGAGTGTATGCACTAGTAGTGAGAAAAAAGATAGCATACTAAATACTGGAGTCACTAAAACGTTCCACGCTTCCTTAAGATAGAGTATGTGTATGTGTGTGTGTGTGTGTGTGTGTGTGTGTGTGTGTGTGCGTGCGTGTGTGTGTTGCTCATGTGTGTAATAGCTAATGATGTTGTTTGAAGTGGCTGGTCTTTACATCTTTGACTCATAGCAGTCTCGCACGCACACACCACCACACACTCTAAATATATTTTTTTACTAGGAATCAAACCTAGCTGGATGTGCTGGCATCAGTCCTGAAGCAGGCTGATTGACTTGGGCTGGATGCACAACATGCCTGCTTACTTACAGCGTGTGGCAGGTTTGGGCAAGCTTTCAAGTACCGGCTTGAGGTGGAGAGGGAGATGATTCCTGCTTACTGTGCCAGCTGATACACCCTGAATCAGTTGGCTTTGGATATTAAGGCCAGCACACTCACTGACAAATGAGACTCGCTGAGGAGAGGAACAGCCACTTTGTAGAAAATTATGAATTGACCAGTAGGGCTGGGCAATGTGGTTGGAATCATTATTATGAGCTATATTAATAAGGATAGCTCCTGTTATGATTATATATAACATATAATAGGGTGTATGCATGGTTTTGTATATGGTAATTGCAGGGTTCTCCAACCTTCAGTTTCCCTAACCTGTACATCACCATCTCTCTCTCCGTGTGTTTGCTGTTTCTTTAATTATATAATATCAAATAATATGCCAAAATGCGGAAAAATTAAACTGATATTAAATCATGCATTACAAGAGACAAAAACCCTGTTGAAATCTGAATTTCTGAAAGTCAAAAGACGACTATCTATTGAATAAACCCTTTTCATCGGTCAGCAAGGTGCAAGAAAACCAAGTTTGAACGATAACTCAACAACTGTACGAGTGTGCACTTCATTCAAGCTCTGCCTTTATCAGCAGTTTTAGAAAGCTACACCACCACCTTGTCTCCAGCAGTCCACACTGCTTTGTTTTTGATTCACTGTAGATGATCCACTTTTCTCATACAGATAACATGTGGACAATGTTAAGTGAGTCATATGCATCGTTTATTGTCCAGATTTTCTAGTCTGTTTTGTTTCATAATTTTCTTTAAGTTTCTCTTGAACTTTAAACATTTTCAAAAAAATTACCAGTATGTTTCACTTCAGAGTGGCTGACACTGGTTAGTTCTCTTTGATTACATACTGAATTCAATTTATTTTCAACATTAATGTAGAAAGCAGGATCATATGATTGAACCGATCAGATAACAAGGCTCATAACATTCCAATCTCTGTTTCTTTGCCTATTAGTCTCCCTTTGTCAGCCCATGTGTCACTGCATTTTTCCTATGCACTCTGTTCATTTTTGTCTGTCCTTATTCATCCATTCTTCAATATTTCTGCCCACCTTTGTGTTTGTCATTTAGCCTTTTTGCTTGTCATTCTGTTTCCCATCTCCAGACAAGTTAATGAGAAGGGCTCACCTGAGGGACCGGGGTTGTGTTGGAGCTCATCTGTCTCATTACCATCTCATTATCACCCTCCTGTCTCCTCTCTTTATTTGACTTTGTGTCCCCCCTCACTTCATCTTCTCATTATATTAAAATATCAAAAAATTTTAAGACAGTTTGCCAATAGCTCTAGACAGTCCTGTTTCATATTGGGAAATCAAACTTGGGGACAAAATTGAGGCATCAAGTCACTGAGAATAAATTAATTTATTATTAATTAGTTAATTACTCAATACTTTATGTCATTAATAACACCCAATCACTTTTAAAAGATTTCAAATGATATGAGACTTTAAATGTGTCAACACTAGCACATTTTTAAGTTTCTATAGCTACAATTGCATTCTAAAAATACAAATTATAACAAGTACACACACAGTATCATATCAATATCAAAACTGTCACCATGACAGTGCAATCTTTTCCGCTCTTCCCACAATATTGTTTAGCTTTAAACAAGCACTAAACACAGTCTGACATAATTAGTTTGACATCAGTTTTCTAAATACTGTGTGTGTGTGTGTGTGTAATACTACAACTAAGTTGCCATTATTGTCTTACTACTATAACCTGCGTTAATGGGTGAAAATGGCCTTAAGGCTCAGCAGATACAGCAGTCCATTATGTTTCTTGAGTAAATAAGTAAATTTGTGGTACATTTATGAGAAGGTGGTTCCTGACAGTGTCTTTAACACTGCTCTATAATAATCTGTCACTTGTGCTGTGGTTAATTTGCGTGCTGTATGAACTTTCAAGACTTGAGAGTTGACTGCTGAATGCCTATTTAATGAAGGAAGCTTCTAAGTTCATATTATCTTAATTATGCTAATTATTGCCTCTTGTTGTTGTTTTCTGATGTTCTGACAGCATAGTCTGTAAATGAAACATAATTCAGCAGCCAACACTCAACTTTCAGAAGTTGGAGATTTTCACAAGGACTTGAAGTACTGTGTGTTGACCTCCACATATAAGAATTAATTCTAGCATGAAGCACTGTGCCACAGTCACATGAGCAGCCTGGCTCTTGGTTTGGTTTAGAACTGATTGCCATTTGCTGTCCCCCAGAAGATAAACCCTAATGGTTTTCATGGTCCTGTTTATTGTTTTATCAATAATCACCAAGCTGTCAGAATTTCTGCTTGTGCAGCACTTTTATCATCAATAACTGCTCCCACTACTTTGAGATCAATACATAGCATACTGACATGCTAACAAAAGAAAAGGTTACATCTTACTATGCGAACAATGTTTAATGTACACATAACATCAGAATGTAAGGGGCTTTTTCTTCAAGAGTGCAATTTGAGAGCATGCCATATTGATCTCATGTTCAGATTTTGTAATGCTTTCCCTCAAACTGCTCTGTATTATCACATTTCATTATATTTCCCACACATAACAAACATTGTTTTGCACACATCAGTCGTTGTCTCTTCCAACATGGGGGAACAAAGGTGATTCCAAACATTCTGAGAAAGGCCTCTGTTCTCTCTGATACCAATATGGTCACAGATTTATTGTGCATCCCTAATACAAAGATTATGTGATATTACTAAAAAAATGTTTTCAGGAACAACTGAAGGCACAAATAATTTAGATTCAGTAAAAGAAAAAAGCCTACAGCATGCTGCCCCACATCCATACCAGTGTGCTATTATGAAAGACTGGATTGTTTGAGGTTGTATAGTATGTGGCTTCAAATCCTTTGCTTTGTGAACATTTAATAACCTTAATAAACATTGTTGCCGCTTTAGATCCGGTATCTCCAAAAAGCATAGTTAAAGAGGTCCTCCACCCTAAAATGTGTTTTTTGAGCTGTAAACTGAATTATATAGTTATACTGTGGTGAAACACATCAATGTTGTTGGTTAAAAATGGCTCAACACGCCCTCTACTGTTTTAAATCACATTTTACGTTTTAAGACAAATGCTGAGATAGCGTCAACCTCTTGTGGTAACTCTCCATCAGAACATCTGTATAAAAAGACAGTGTTAACGCCTCTAATCAGAGGAGGGCTACCCATCTCCCCCAGCCTCTGCTTTGAGTGGGAGTGTGTGAAACTGCTGTGCTTATTTGGTTTTTGCTAACCCTTTACTTTTCTATTCTGGTGCAGTAGTTCATACTTGTACTTTAGATTGCTGTAGAAACACCACCAGACTGCAATGTTTATCTTGATCTCACACACTGAAAGGCCCCCCACAGACACATATGGGAGAATTAGCCTCTCTGACCTGTTAGCTTTGCTACAACACAGGTACCACACAGAAACTTTTACAAACAACTTTCAGAGTGCTTCAAGTGACAGGAAAATCCCCAAACGGACTCTCTGTGTTGACACTATATGTAAGTCAATTAAACTTAATAAATGTGTAAGAAATTATAACAAACTCATAAGGCTTTTATTAATGTTCTTGAGCAGTATATTAACATTAACTAACAGTTTTGTATAGTGCTAATACATTATTGTGCTCACAATGTATTCTTTGATGAGAAGTCATTTAGCTTGCAAAAATGCATGAACTGGTACAAATTTAACAGCTAAAGCTTGTGATACAGCAATGGTTACAATAACTGTGAGAAACTTAATAAACTTAGCTTAGCTTAAACTAAACATGTGGTCACACAATTCTACACACAAACACAAAGGCAGATAAGAATTGAACTTACTTTGGTCTCATTCATACACACATGTAATCGAAAGGAGAGGAAAACACTCAGTAAACTGATGAATTCAGTCTTCTACAACTTACCACTGCTTTATTTGCTACATTGAGCTCAAGTTTTTCTCTGGCACTAATTTGTTTGCTAATTAACCACTGCCACGCAATGAGTGCGTGAAGAGGGCAGGATGTAGTGATACACAACAAATGATCAAGTCCGCTCTCATCATGCAGTCTCTCAGGAAATCTGTGCAAGTAACACTATATACAGCATATATGTGTAAGCAAGCATACGGTTTATGCATAAGAGCAAGCAGCTATTTCAGTGGAAGGGCAGGGTTTTAGAGGGAAAGCATTACAAACTCTGAACGTGAAATCAATTAGCCATGATTTCAAATTGCTGACTATGCTCTGGAATAAGGTTTATATACATGTACACGTTCAGTCAAGTGCAAGCAAACACCACTTTCTTACTGACACATATACGAAACCTGTCAATGCAGAGATGAGAGCGATGTTTATGTGGGGACTGCTAAAGGCATATGAGGACCTCCCTAACAGCCTAACATTTATCTTCAAACATCTTATTTTTCGAGACAGCCCATCAATTTCTCATAAGAGCCTCTGGACACACACAGACACACATACAGTACAGACACCCTCCACATAGCCTTCAGAGAGATATGGAGGAGGGTGTCATTTAATTTTTTAAATCACATTTTACTCTGTGCTTCTGTCATGCCAATTTTAGTTTAATTTGGTTTAATTTAAGACAAAGCCAAAGAGACAGTGAATAAAATAAAGTGATGGTGGTGAATGTCCACTAAAGTGTAGTAATAATAAATCTCTCTATCCCCTTCTTCACCCTCTATTCATCCCTTCGTCTCACATCTCCCTTCATGTTTGAGGCTTGGCACATGTCCCCCTCAGTTCACTCATCTGTGACCATTCTCACTTTGCTTCACACTGCTCTGTCTTCGTTTTCAATCTCACAACATTGTTCCCTTTATCTCAGCCCCCGAGGCACACACCACATACCTTGAGTTGTGATTGGATTTTCACATATACTGAATGTGTGTGTGTGTGTGTGTGTGTGTGTGTGTGTGTGTGTGTGTGTGTGTGTGTGTGTGTGTTCTTGATGTGTGTCTTATGATGCAAATATTGCTGATTAAGAAATGATTCTTGTATGTTCTATATCCTGAAGCCTTGCCATACCCTGAATGTAAGCAGACATGAGATTTTTTATTGATTTTCATCAGTCAGCAGCCTAAGGGTAAAATACTACATGTGTCGCCTTTTTCTTTATGTATCCCAAAGGGCCATTTTTTGCCCAACCTTATCAAACATGCTGTTCAGTTTAGTTTTTTTTTTTGCCTGATGGAGCTGGATTTTAAAATGTATTGCATATACAACAGCTGTTTGGTAATCAGGAGTGCAACAACCTTTGACTGCACAAAACTGATTAGACCATTTTGTATTCAAGACAGACACTGTACAAGTCGTACTAGAAAGAAACTCCCATACTAAAAGGGTCAAACGCTGAAGGAATACAAATTATGTTTGTGGTCAGTAGGTAAAAAAAACAGGTCACTCTATATATTTACTGTATAATACCTGTTTACAGCAAAAGGGTCTAATAAAGTGAAAGCATAACTGGTTATTTCCCACTGTGTTAAATTATAATAATTTTGCTGGGGAGACTTTTGATAAAGATAGGCATTATTACACATGTTGTGCACTAGAGCTTCCCACAAAAAGTCAATGATTTGAGTCGTCATTGAGTCCAAGACGACTCTTATTTTGTCATGAATCTCTTCATGACTTATCGTTTTTTTAAGCTGTGTAATTGTACAAAGAGAAATGCAGGAGCAACTTTAGAAACCAAGTCTGAAAATGACCACAAACCTAATTGTGATAGAAAAACAGAGGACAGCGCAACTCCAGTCTGTCAGCTAAACCACTTTAAAACCAGACAGTGGTCCCCTACCACTGTCCACTATGATGGACTTTTTGGCTGACAGTGCTACAGCATCCCAGCAGGAGAGACACTCCATAGTGCGCTGGGACTTCATAACTGAACTATAATCAAGACACACTTTCACTTTGACTGTGTGGAAATATGATGTCATATCACAGATGAGGAAGAAAGGCATTAAAATCTAAGACACATGTGAGGCTGATACAGGAGTTAGTATGGTGCTGAACTGAAATAAAAAGGGAACAAATAGTTTAATCTTTGCATTGTTGAAAAAAGAATTGTGGGGGTCACAAGACATAGGGGCAAAGGGTTGAATGGTGTGAACAAAAAGGAGTTTGACAGACCAGGCAGATGAAGCAGATGAAGTTATATTATACTACCATGACATTCTTTTTTGTTACCTCTTCCTTCTTCTTCTCAACTTTGAGGTTTTTTTCTCTTTTCCTCTTTTTGGTTTTTCTGGTTACGTTGCAGTATTTTGAATTGCATTAAAATATCAGGCCAGTGACAGCAGTGCAATGTTTTTTTGTCAAACTTACATCAATTTGCTTGGCTTTTATCATTTAGATAGATAATACAGGTATTTGCTTAAGACTTTATGTCAAATATACACCTTACTGATTTTTTTTTTTGTTGCAATGTCAAGCTGATTTATTTCAAAATGGAAAGGTCATGAACCAAATCACAGTATCACCCTTTCAATATTTTACACTCAAGCTTTAGTATAATTGCAATTGAGGATAAATGTTGGTTGACATTTTTTCAAGTTCAAGCAGTTGAGGACACAAAGGGGGCAGCTGAAGGCACATTTGATATTTGATGAATCTACCTTCTCATGTTGCTTACATTTGTACATTTGAAGAATATCTAAGTCAACTTCCTTTTCTCCCTCTATTATTCCCTCCTGTCCTTTCTTCCATCTTCCCTCTCTTCCTGTCTCTTCCCTCTCCACTCAATTATTCACCTCCACCCCTGACTCATGCAGAATGACTACCGCAAGCTGTCCATGCAGTGTAAGGACTTTGTGGTGGGTGTGTTGGACCTTTGTCGGAACACAGAGGAAGTTGAGGCCATACTAAATGGCGATGTTGACCAGTGCCCTCCAACCGCTTACAACCGACCCTGTCTCAGCCGTGTGAAACTGGCCATCAAGTATGAAGTCAAGAAGGTAGGATGACCAAAAAATAACTGCATAAGCAAAATGACCTTTTAGGATGTTCAGGGTTTATCTCAGTGTGGGTTTTCCTTTCCTAAACTTAACCATCCCCTAAAGGGGCTTCTCCAGCAATTTAATATTGCATTTCCATAAAGTGGGGAGACTTGCAAGAGCAACAACAATGAAAAGAAGAATCCTACATTCCCTTAAGACAACTTGATAAAATGTCTTGCAGGACACTCCCTGTCTGATAAATGCCCAAGCCTTTCAAATTCAGTGCTTCCAGAATGTAACACAGGCTTTCTGTTATAACTTTATTTGTATTTATTTGTCTTCAAGCTCAGGCAAGCCAAGATAACCTTGATGGTATCAATCATAGCTTATTTTTTCAGCTCCTCCAAAGCCAGCCACAGAATACATTATACAGCTCTTTTCACAAGCTGAGTAGTACTCCCCATGACAAGTATACCTTCAACCAGTTAAGAGGATAGAAGATTCTCATAGATTTTGAAAACTGTGTATTTTGTTGATTTGATATGAGGACTTGAAAGAACTACATATCTGCCCAGCAAGTCAAGATACATCATCTATACCAACTACTGTAGATGACAAATGAATAAAGAATCTCATCACATTACAAAATTCCTATCCGCATCTAGTTTTGTTTAGGATTATTTGGTTACTTGGGCTTATTATAATTCACAGATGTTCATAATTATAAATTGCATGTGTGTGAAGACATTTTTGAAATGTTGGTTTTAAATATTTCCTCAAAAGTAAATTAGATTCTTTAATAATAATATAATAATAATATGTCTTGAGGAGGATTAACATGGAAGAATACTGAGTGTTTTACATGTAACCTGACCAAGTAAATAAGCTGGTGTCTATGAGCCATTTTGTGCACAGTATGTTTGTGTGTTGTCTGTGGCCTCCAAGGGCCCTATATAAACAACAAACTGGCCTCTATGTCAGAGAGCTAATCCCTGCTGAACAGAGGTTTTCTACAAAATGTCAAACCAAATCCCTTTTCCCCATTTCCCCGTACCATACTCACACACACACACGTTCCGGTTTGTCCTTAATGTGCAACATGTTTTCTCTAATCGCGTATATACCAGTTGTGTGCATGTGTGCGTGTACATGGTGGTGTGTTCCTGTGTGTGTGTTCTGGGTAGTGCACAGCCTGTTTGAGCTGTGTTTTCATCCTGTACAAGAGAGCGTGACCAATGCTCAGAGAACTAATTACGCAGGAGGCAAGGAGGGAGGGGTACATTGCCATGGAAACCAGGTGGAGCATGACTGCATGTTTCTGGACGCAAGCAGGGTTCATGTCATGGGTCAGTGGGTTGATAAACTGGTCACCGGACCTCGCTGGGAAACTATATTAACTATGATTTAGTGTGCAGTGTTTATGGTTGTGTGTGGTTTTTCTCTGTGACTGCAGAAATGATTGAGTGCACATGCACATTGTGCGTATGTGTGTGTATCGATCGGCGGATGGGAGCAGAGGCTGTAAATTGTCAGCTCAGGTAAATGCTCCCTTAATGTAATGACCAATGCTGATTGGTGTAGGAGTGGGAATGATTGATTGAGGGAGAAAACAAAAAGAAAATAAAGGGAAGGCAGGTATGATCAGAGGTTACCTGTTGCTCAGATCTTAGATATGAACGACAAACTGTTTGATTGTTTCACTAGTTGACCTCCTACTGAGCATCGATTTCTTTGTTGTCCACATCCTTTCTCTAGCTGGAGCAAAAACATCCATCCTCTATTTCCTCACCAGACCAGTGGTTGCTTTCATTTATCACTTCCTTTCTTGGAGTAAAGTCATCAAGAGATGCTGAAATGCCAGACCAAGCCTTATCTAATAAAGCAAACATGCTTTAGTAATGAATGTAAACACTCAGTGCTTCTTATTTGCTGCTTGCTTTCTTTTGCATACTGTATGCTAAATGGATTCCCCAACTTGCTTGTTGACATTTTTTCATTCTAAATGAAGCCAAGTGGCAACCCTGAATACAAACGTGTTGTGAATAATATATTTTGATTGTTATGAATACACAATAGATGTGCTCTAAATAGAAAATCAGCCTGCACACTCAGCTACTTAGGAATACCTTGAATATTAATATAAAGAGGAGCACCAGAAGCCCTCTTCATGAATATAGTATATTTTTTAACCTTACTAATTTTTCTTCCTTTTCATTTCTCTTCCTGCCAGAGATATAGTGTCACAATGTTTGCTCAATATGCTGCTGCTGTAAAAACATCATAGACCCCTCAAGGGATCTTTAAAATAATCAGAACAAAATTCTTAATGTTATGAAAATAGGGTGAGAAAAGCAATTGCTTTACTGAAAATGGGCTATTATTGCTTCTAATTGCTCCTATCTCTCCTTCTCTTCTTTCTCCTCACTTATCTTCTTTGCCCTGTGTCCCCATTTTGCCCTCATTATTCTCATTTGATTTGAATTTCTTGTGCCCATCTCTCTCTCCAGTTTGTTGCCCATCCTAACTGTCAGCAGCAGCTTCTGACTATCTGGTATGAGAACCTGCCCGATCTGAGGCAGCAGTCCGTCGGAGTGAAGTGCTCAACAGTCCTGGGGGTCACTGTAGGTCTCCCCTTCCTGGCTATCGCCTACTGGATAATGCCATGCAGCAAGGTATGAACACACAGGCACACACACAAACAAGCAAAAGACACAGTCCATCCTCCATCAGCTTTTAGAAGTCGTGGCACCACTTTCCTTTTCTCCAAGTAAAGAGGTTTTCCAGGACAATTTGTCGCTTGTGAGCTCTATTACGTAATTTCTGATGTTTTGCATTCCCTTCAGTTTTTCATTATAATGTAATATCAACTTGCTATATAGTCACGTTCATACACGTAGCGCAAGCATACATACATGATTTGTTACACTCTGAAATGTGATGATAGTAAGTGGAGGTAAAATGAAGGGTTCATAAACATTGCAATCGTGGCTCCAAATGGAAACTGTTAGGAAGAAAAGTACAGACCAAGACTACCCCTTTTCCACTTATTAGGTTCTTGAACCATTTCCGTTCAGGATTCAGTCAGTCAACAATAAATAATCTTCATATTGGGAATAAACCTGCCTCCTCTGTGAATTGTCTTACACTACTGTATTTTCATGGCGGTCATAATGGTGGTATTTGGAGAGCCTTATATTTTCTGAGGTGTTATGTGGTGTAAAACGTTTGAGAAAGACTGTTTATCATCAATGTGTCTGAATTTATAAATAGTAACAGTGAGAAATATTTTTTTACATTTCAACACCAGAAACCAGGAAAATGAGTGCTTAACTGAAATGAACGAATAAATTAGAAGGGGTGTAATAATATAGACCAGGGTTGCTAAAGAACTGAGGTATGCATTAAAGAGTTATGAGGACCTGTTTCTGATGTTTCTATGTACTATGACTTCTGATAGGAATGCTCTTATTTAATGTTGTAACCCATTTTTAATAACATGTTTTATTACAGTACATGGCTTTGGCAACAATACTGAAAGTCTATAGCCGACAAACAAACCAAGGCAGCTTAAACACCCATCACACACATGAATGCTCATAGGCTACCAGTCCAATTACTATCCTGTTACAGTGTCTTTAAACATGCCAACATTATCAATTCTAACATAATTGCATTCTAAAGCGGTACTCTAAATATAAATCTACAGTATCTTTGAGTCAAAGACACTCACACTAGAGGTGGCTTCTTGTTCTTTAGCTTGGTCTTTCATGGGACAGCTTTAGTAAGCTTGTAATCGCCTTATTTACAATAGTTACAGTTTTAATGGTGAACCTGTTTTATGGTGAAATAATCAAAAACTCCACAGAAAGTTCTCCAACCACTGCTAATGTTATAAAGAGTTCGGTCTAGACCTGCTCTATTTGAAATGTGTCCTGAGATAACTTCTGTTATGAATTGGCGCTATACGAATAAAATTGAATTGAATTGAATTGCTGCTGATGTTTAAAACATAAACCTTTCAATCCTTTTTCTTAATATGAGGCCAAATTGAATGTCAATTCATCCATTAGTTGTCAAGATATTTACCGACAGACTGAGGCTATGACTAGCATGGCTAAAAACATTACAAATTTCCAATTTAAAGAGCACCGTATAATCACCATTTGATTATAGGGCCCGAGGCCTCATTTTGTTAATACTCCATCAAGCAAATTATAATCTGTAAAGTGACAGAGGTCACACACACACACACACACACACACACAAACACACACACAAACACACACACACAGATACTCACAGAGGAGCTGTGTGCAAATGTGCTCATCAACCTGGATAATCCTCTACCTCATCATCAAGTGGTGTGTGTAACTGTGTGTGTTGCGTGCTAACTTAGATTCAGAAATGGTATTGAGGACTTTTGAGTGGTTCATGTCAGGTGTGACTGTTGAATTAGTTATTTTTGTAGACTAAGAGAGAGAGAACAGCTGATCTGGAGTGTGACAGAGGATGGAGAGCAGTAACACTGAGAGCTTCTCCACCATTTAGACATTCAATCATGAGACACTGCTTTTGATCTGTGTCATAAAAACACCTTATGTGTGAGTGTATATTTGTATGTGCGTGCACATGTATGCACGTGCACGGGTGTATGATTACATCTGATTAGGAATTTTCCAGCTGATGAGCCTGTGTCACAGTCTGCCATTTTCTGATGCAGCTGAGAGAGCAGGAAAAAAGGTAGTAGTGTGGAGAAATAACAAATTACTATTATTATTAGTATTAATATTATTATTTACATTTACATAATTTTAAAAGACCAGTTTAATACTGAAATTAGACACTTGAGATGCAAAAGCCAAAAATACAGAGCGTAGGATAATAAAACAATTAAATCAAACAAGTAATTTAGACATGCATGCATAATATCAATGTGACGCCAGCTAATCAGAGACAAAAAGGTACATTAAATGGTTTCGATAATGAAATAGATAAAGAAAAGCAAATAAGAGAACTACATGAAGACAGGTGCAGGTTGCAGAGAGAAAGCTTTGATGTGTTTTGGTTGATTGTGTGTCGTGTGCCCTCCTACACCTGGCGCTAATCATGCAGTTTTGTTCTGCTCATCTGATCAATTGCTGATCTCTTATAGCTCGTAATATTCTCCATTTCGACGGCACAACAACAAGCCATTATCAGAACCCCAAAACGTATTACATTTCATATCAGCAGAGAGAGATAAATAAGATATTGATATTTTTGTTGCGCAATAAGTAGCAAGTCATCAAAGAGATATGCTTTGGGGGTGATGAAAAACAGATGTTTACTTGATATTGAATGTTTCTTCTTGATTGAAAAGGGTGCAAAATGATTAAAACATGCAGAGAGTGATGGGACTCATATTGGAGGGTGCACACAAGAATAATCTTCGGTCTTCCCTGAGTGACAGAAAAGAGATGAAACATAGAATAAGAGAAAAAGACAAGTGATTGGTAAAATATTGCCTTGGTAAGGCTGTCAGGTTCCACTACCTCCTGGAAGAAGCCTCATGCTTTAGTTATATCTCTGTCTCAATATGGGAGTGAGTGTGAGTTTATACAGCACAGCATCAAATTGTAGCATTTTAATACTGATAAACTATTGCTGGATTAATAAGTGATTCGTTCAGTGGTGGACTATGCACATGTGCTCAAGTAGTGTAATTAAGTGCAATTTTGAGGTACTTGTACTCTACTTCACTACTTTTCAGAGATAATTATTGTACTTTTTACTCCACTACATTATATTACATATATTACATTACACTACATTTTACTGTATGATGGCTAGTGTTTTCTATTACTCTGATTATAATAAAGTTAAAGTTGTGTGGAAGGAAGGAAGTAAGGAAGGAAGGAAGGAAGGATGGAAGGAGGGGAACGAATGAAAAAATAAGGAAAAAGTAACACACTGAAAGTAAGTAAAGACAGAAACAAAGGAGACAAGGAAAGAAAGAAAGGAAATAATGAAGGGAAAGGAAGGAAACATTGAAATAAGGAGATGAAACCAAGACACAAGAAAAGGAAATAAGAATCAAGAGAATGAAAGGAAAGACCCCACTGTTTGGGTTTTCGATAATTTTTTTCACATCTCAAGAATTCCTTTGCTTCCTCCCCAGGATCTGATCTGATCCTTTTCTTGGTCTGTGTTTGTCTTCTCAGGAGGTTCAAACCAGGTCTCTACAAGAAAAAAAAATCAAATCGATACACATGGGACCGGGTCACATTCCATTTATCATTGATGCAATTACTGGACGTCATTGAATAATCCTGCAGTATCTCAACACTTGCCAATAAGGATGCAAAAATGGTATCAACCAAATATTAGACTCAGCAAGAAAGCAAAAAGTTTCTAGTGTGAGAATTGCTGTAATTCTATATAGGTAAATAGGCGATTGCATGTGTGATGGTTGACCAATTAGATGATACATATTGGTAAATCAGATTATTATCTGTGTGTGAGTTACAGAGAGAATAGAGCCTCAAACATGTACACATTTGTAGGATGCTCCATAATTTCTTGTCATTTAAACCCAAAGGGGACATACATTATATCTACAGTATGACAGAATGTGTTATCTTATACCTAGATAAGAAATTATTCAGAGCGGATGACAGTGTACATCATGCTTGAGTTTCCCAGGTGAAAAGATGTTAGGGAATAATAAAGGATACAGCAGCTCAATTCCAGCTTTGTGAGATTTCCATTTTGTACCAAACCTCTTTTATTCAGCCTGTGCGCTCCCGCTGCCAGTGGCCACCATTTCGTTGGAGGAGAGAAGATCAGCTCTTGTCACCATCACTCTGATAAAAAAGAAACCCATGGGGTTTGCAGTCGTCACACAGCAGTGGGCCTGATCCAGGATGGTCGTCTCATTTAAGCTGAGGGGTGAAATGGATGTGCCTTATCAGCACGGCAGATGAAATAAATGAAGGAGTTAGAGTCATCACAGTGGCAGGAAGAGGTTTAGAGGAGGGTTTGCAGGGTTAAGATTTACCAGACAACCTCTTCCCACATGGTTTAGTAGTGTGTGTGGCATGGGAACAGCTATTGAATCTGATGTGTTAGTGTGCATGCAGAGAGTAGAGATATCCTGTGGGCACTTAATATTGAACACAGCAGGTTTTGAGAGTGGCAAATGTTGGGATCTCAATGATGTCTGTATGGGGTTGGAAGTGTGTATGTGTACATTTTCTCTGTGTGTGTGTGTGTGTGTGTGTGTGTGTGTGTGTGTGTGTGTGTGTGTGTGTGTGTGTGTGTGTGTGTGTGTGTGCGTGTGTGTCTTGGCCTATTTTTGTGCAATTATAAAAAGGTCCCTCTGTGCGGTGGCATGTTTAACGCTCGTTGTGCAGCTCCACCTTGCATCACGTTCTCCCCATATGGTGCCTTTCCACAAACTGATGAATGTTTGGCATCTAGTTAATCCAGCATCATGTTGCTGTGAGAGTGATTGGTGGTTAAGCACATCTATGAATTCTAACAGCTGCTGTTTGACTGCTAAAATGGTTGTGTAGTGGTGCTTTTCAGATTTTAATCTCTGAAGACCAAAATCTCAGAAACTCTGCAGAAACAATAAACATAGGGTTATATCAGTAAATGAGAACATGTTTTGTTTGGCTGCAAATTTACTCTTGTGTATAGTCTTTTTTTTTAACTGTTCAAGGAAAATACAACTCAAACATGTCTCTTAAGCCTGATTACCGGACTCAAAAACACATTTTGCAAGCTGTTGTGTTGGTAAACACAAGTGAAGTCAATTACTTGACAAACATGACTGGTAAAAATGTCTAATATCGCATTGTCCTTTGTCATTCTTGACTAGCTCCTTAAAGATTGTAGCACTATTAGGAGTTTTGTATAAGTTGGTCCCCACACATTCCTGCCAATGGTTTCACATTATTGCACGAATAATGCTGCTTGCAAGGAAAACAACAAATATTACAAAAATCAGCTTTGCAAATGATTTATAAGAGATGAAATGCATTCAACACATTTGTTAATGATACAAGTAATGTGTCCAACTCCAAAAGACAGACAGACAAAAGAGCTAAAAGGAGACTGAATATTGTACATAGACCAGTTGGCCAGAATCCCAGAAACACATTTGAATGCAAATGTTGCTCTTTGTCCTTGAATCTTTAAATAGGAAACTGTTTGCCAGAACATTCACCAAATCAACTTTACAAAGTGAAAATATGTCAATATTGTGTTCACTGTGATGCATTATATTACTAGTCTCTTTAATCTTCAGAAATCAATTGCTCCCTAGTTAGTATTTGTTAAACTACACAGGCAATGGAAAATATGCCCTTTTTATGTCCTCAATCCTCTCACGTACAGATTGGTCAGATCCTGCGAAGCCCCTTCATGAAGTTCGTGGCTCACGCTGTCTCCTTCACCATCTTCTTGGGTCTGCTGGTTGTCAATGCCTCCGACCGCTTTGAGGGTGTAAAGAACCTGCCCAATGAGACCATCACAGACCACCCGCGACAGGTGTTCAGAGTCAAAACCACCCAGTTCTCCTGGACAGAGATGTTGATCATGAAGTGGGTGTTGGGTGAGTCTCCTTTCCCACACATGGTGCACACACACTTGTGGCAGTGTTTGAAATTCTTCAATTAAAATGCAAATAGATGTAAGATAGTCGCCGTCAAGACAGGCAGCATATAAAAGAGTCAAGGCACAATGTAAAATGAATTTTCTTTTTAATAGTTTATGGCGATGTTTCTATCAAGGCTTTCAAAGTTTTTGATTTTGACTTTTTCTACAACCACACCTTCCCCATACAGGAACTGGTCAGTGGACCTTTTTCCCAGCATGGATATGAGGCGGAATTAAAGACTAACGCAGCGCCATACCAACCGAGTGGATGAAAGCCAATGTTATAGCAATACAACAATTCATTCTCTTTTATCTTCCAAAGATGAAAAACAAGTTTCCTGGCTGGATGCCACAGAGGCCAGGCTTGTTGAAGCACTGGCCATGCTGAGTCTTAACGATAAGCTGGAGGGAAGTTTGGAGGTTGACCTGAGAGGTGGTGCTGAGGAAATATTAGAGGGAGGGAGAGAGAGACAGGAGAATGGAGGAAAGATGGAAGTAGCTGAAGGAGACCTATGACAGTAAAGGGAAGGTGTATGGCGTACAAGAAGACAGGCATGAAGAAAGAGGGAGATGGACAGAAAGACAAAGACAAACTCAACAGATAAATAGCCCATGGCAATATCTGTCAGACCTCAGCTGCTTCCCATCTGTTGATGTTCTTCCTTTTATCTACACACTCACACACACAAACACACACTCACACACTCTTACACACATAATAACATTGTGTGAGTGGTTTGTGTATGTTGGTGCACATATGGTTCTGTTTTTATTTGTTTATGTGTAATGGCACCATTCTTTTCCCATCCCTGGTAATTTTTGGCAGCAGGTGCTTGTGTGTGCGTTTGTGTGTGTGCAGTGAGCGGTGGCTTAGGAAGAGAAGGATAATTGTAATTCCAGCAGCATGTTTTGAAGGCCCAGTAATTGTTATAGAGATGATACTGATCAGGGTGCCTTTTCAGTAAACAATTTTCTCCTTGTTTTGGTCCAAATAGAGAATGACAGAGTGGTTGTGTAGGAGGAATTAGGTTTTCCACTGTGTGTGTGTGTGTGTTGTGTGTGCACCTGAGCTAAAAGTGGGGATGTCTGAGTGGTTGAGTATAAATTATAAGCTTTGTTGTAAACATCTGCGTATGTTTCTTCGTGAGCATGTCTCTGCATATATAAGCGTGTTTATGTTTGCCTGTGAGAGCCTCTTTATCTTTTTTATTCCTGTTTATCTCTTGTGTTTTCTATCTTTCCACAATGTATCCATGCGTTGTGTTGTGTGTGTGTGTGTGTCCTGTTTTTTCAGGTATGATTTGGTCAGAATGTAAGGAGATTTGGAGCGACGGGCCCAGAGAGTACATCATGCACCTGTGGAACGTTCTGGACTTTGGCATGTTGTCCATCTTTGTGGCATCCTTCACAGCACGCTTCATGGCGTTCCTCAAGGCATCCAAAGCCCAGCAATATGTGGACATGCATGTACCAGACGAAGACCTCAGCAACGCCTCACTGCCTGAGGAAGTTGCCTACTTCACTTTCGGTAAGCAGTTACTCCATAAATATTATTAATAATGTTTTTGCACGACATTTCCCAAAGATGACCTGTAATTGTCTTTGATTTGTTTGTCTAGCCATTGTGACCCCCTCTATTCATGAAAACCGTCCGATTCCTCTGATGTAGACTCAACAAAATGTTTTTTTCTGCCAGACAATTTTCCCCAGGAAAGGCCAATTTGACACCACATGATAAAATGTGAAAGCTTTCATGAGGTGCTTGAATCATTGGCAGCTTCATCCGTCACTGATAAGGAGTAGCGAATCCGAAGAGTATTTGTGTAATAATGTCATAAATAACTAATAATCTGAGCTGGGACACTAGAAGATGAGAGTGTATTTGTCACTGAGATAGAAGTGTCATTGTTGAATATTTACTCTTTTTAGATGACACATTCTCCTGTTTGATTCTTAACTTGATGGCAGCACACAACATTCACATGCACACACACACACATGCAAGTGAAGGTGATATTCTCATGATAACAAGTAAATTTGAATATACCATTTATCCACAGGCAGACATAAACTCCACCGATGAGGAAACATACCACCACTGTACACTTCTTAGTGGGGAAGGGGAACTAAGGGAACCTTCATCAGTGCTGTCATCTGGTGGTGTGACTCTGTCATGACACACCAGTAAACTGATGAAAATTTATATTACTGCAGTGTCTGTTATTGTCCCCATAAGCTGTTCTCTGTATGTCTCCATATTACATACATATAACATAGAACATTGTCCATATCTGCACTGAAAAAAGCAACCATTGTATATGATAAACCTACTTTTTGTCCTACATAGTCACAGTTTAACAGCAAATTATATCTTGAAATGCAGTCTTTCAATCTTTTATTTCACTTTTCTGTTTGTGGTTCTTAATTAATCCTTTTTGTATCTAATTTTTCCATCTAGCTCAATTATCCTCTCCCACTACATCTGATTCTGACATCTCTCTCTCTCTCTCTCTCTCTCTCTCTCTCTCTCTCTCTCTGTCCTTACTTCCCCTTGGACACACTATCCTTCTATCCTTCTCTTTGCCCTCTTCTCTCCAACATGATCTCTTTCCATCCTTATTTTTATCATCATCATTTTGGAGCTATACTCTCATACCCGATGCATCAGATTTTTAGATTATTCAGTGTGAAAATGTTTGCTGGTTAAAGTCTGAGCCAAGGACCTATTTTCTTGTCGAAATGGGCATTTCTGTTGTGTAAATAAAACAACAACAGCTTACTCAACCACTTGCCTTTTTCTTTCTTCTCCTCCAGCCAGGAACAAGTGGCGCCCCTCAGACCCCCAGATCATCTCAGAAGGCCTGTACGCCATCGCCGTGGTGCTGAGTTTCTCACGCATCGCCTATATCCTGCCAGCCAACGAGAGCTTCGGCCCACTGCAGATCTCACTGGGGCGCACAGTCAAAGACATCTTCAAGTTCATGGTCATCTTCATCATGGTGTTTGTGGCCTTCATGATTGGCATGTTCAACCTGTATTCATACTACCTGGGAGCCAAGTACAATCCTGCCTTCACCACGTAAGTTATACCTGACTGCGAGAGTGTTTTAACAAATGTGTGTGACTGCGTAATTAGATGGTGGTTATGTCTAAATATATATTCAGAGACCTATTTCTAACATGGTGTAGCTCCATGATGGTCCTATTCTGGACATTTTATATCTGAATTGACTGCAGAAAAGAAAACTAATTCATGTCAAAAGTATTTTGGGTCTCATGTTACTATACTTGCTGATGAAGGCCGTAGAACAAGGAAATCCCCAGGCCATATAAATTGTCACATATCCTCCTTGATGAGACAGTTTGTTGGGTTCATTAAATCCATGGTGCTTTATCAGTGGCAGAGATCGAATTCTAATCTTCCCTTAGGCCTCATGCTGACAATTGGGCTATTTGGTTGAATTGAATAAGGAGAATGGTGAATGGGATGGTTCACACACTAAAATCTATAACAAACACTGGTGAATTGTGGCTTTATCTCACAGCTTTAACAAAGTGCCCAGTTGCAAAAGAAATTGGGCACCAGTTTGTGTTTACTGTTGCACAGAAGATAGGTCGACTCTGCTGTATTTCTCCCATAAACACAACTATATTTTACTCAAATGAAAATGGAAGTGTCAGTGAGAGCTGTCAATGGCAGATTCTGTACGAGCTGTGGGGAAAACGCATCAACACTGGTTAAAAATTTAAAGGCCTTGTTTTTCATAAAAAAATAACTTTGATATGACATGCAGTTAATGATAAGGCAAAACATCTTGTATTTATTTATTTTTTTATGATCAATATGGATGCGGAAGAGGGAAAGAGGGGCTTTTGGAGATGTTTTGGCGAAGTCTGAAAGGTTTTTCATGCCGGTCCAAATTATTTAGTAAGGTTTCACTGAGGCACAAGAACTTCCCCATTATTTAATACAGTTGATGATGAAATTCACAGTCAGTGATTTCAAGCAGGATTTAACACACCAACTTATTGGTTGACAGTGATGGAGACCATTGTACCAAATTACAAAAGTCAGCCAAAATGTGTGTTACTAAAGCTCACAAGTATGCAGACTTCCTTCAGCACTTAACCAGACACAGTGAACCTTTAAAGAACAGGTTCACATTTTTCCACGTTTATCTTTATACAGTATTCCCTTGCCAAATTGCTGTATATACACATCTCCTCCTCTCTTTACCGACCATGAAACAGTCTCCTCCTAGTCCTTGTTCTGAGACAAATCAAGTGGGACAGACTATTATTGTTTTTTGATAATTGAAAATCATCCAACTGAAATTACAAAGGGTGTGATAACAACACACACAGTACTCTTAATGCACTTTATCTGCTAAAGTGCTGCATTTAACTTCATTATCAGGGTTGTCCATTTCAAATGGCCAAGTGCACATTTTAACTGAAGAGTCAGGATGCACTTTAAGGCTGCATTGCATAAAAACAACTATATAATTTCATAAATATGTATTTTAAATGTTATCAACATCTACAATGAGCTTCACAGAATCAGTTTTACTGTAGAATTTTTACAGATAAGTTGTTGTACTATACAGTGGGTACGGAAAGTATTCAGACCCCTTTAAATTTTTCACTCTTTGTTTCATTGCAGCCATTTGCTAAAATCAAAAGAGTTCATTTTATTTCTCATTAATGTACACTCAGCACCCCAACTTGACAGAAAAAAACAGAAATGTAGAAATTTGCAAATTTATTAAAAAAGAAAAACTGAAATATCACATGGTCATAAGTATTCAGACTCTTTGCTCAGTATTGAGTAGAAGCACCCTTTTGAGCAACTACAGCCATGAGTCTTCTTGGGAATGATGCAATAAGTTTTTCACACCTGGATTTGGGGATCCTCTGCCATTCTTCCTTGCAGATCCTCTCCAGTTCTGTCAGGTTGGATGGTGAACGTTGGTGGACAGCCATTTTCAGGTCTCTCCAGAGATGCTCAATTGGGTTTAGGTCAGGGCTCTGGCTGGGCCAGTCAAGAATGGTCACAGAGTTGTTCCGAAGCCACTCCTTTGTTATTTTAGGTGTGTGCTTAGGGTTATTGTCTTGTTGGAAGGCGAACCTTTGGCCCAGTCTGAGGTCCTGAGCACTCTGGAAGAGGTTTTCTTCCAGGATATCTCTGTACTTGGCCGCATTCATCTTTCCTTCAATTGCAACCAGTCGTCCTGTCCCTGCAGCTGAAAAACACCCCCATTGCATGTTTCACTGTTGGGATTGTATTGGGCAGGTGATGAGCAGTGCCTGGTTTTCTCCACACATACTGCTTAGAATTGACGCCAAAAAGTTCAATCTTGGTCTCATCAGACCAGAGAATCTTATTTCTCATAGTCTAGGAGTCCTTCATGTGTTTTTTGGCAAACTCTATGCGGGCTTTCATATGTCTTGCACTGAGGAGAGGCTTCCGTCAGAACACTCTGCCATAAAGCCCCGACTGGTGCAGGGCTGCAGTGATAGTTGACTTTGTGGAACTTTCTCCCATCTCCCTACTGCATCTCTGGAGCTCAGCCACAGTGATCTTTGGGTTCTTCTTTACCTCTCTCACCAAGGCTCTTCTCCCACGATTGCTCAGTTTGGCTGGACAGCCAGGTCTAGGAAGAGTTCTGGTCGTCCCAAACTTCTTCCATTTAAGGATTATGGAGGCCACTGTGCTCTTAGGAACCTTGAGTGCTGCAGAAATTCTTTTGTAACCTTGGCCAGATCTGTGCCTTGCCACAATTCTGTCTCTGAGCTCCTTGGGCAGTTCCTTCGACCTCATGATTCTCATTTGCCCTGACATGCACTGTGAGCTGTAAGGTCTTATATAGACAGGTGTGTGCCTTTCCTAATCAAGTCCAATCAGTTTAATTAAACACAGCTAGACTCCAATGAAGGAGCAGGACCATCTCAAGGAGGATCAGAAGAAATGGACAGCATGTGAGTTAAATATGAGTGTCACAGCAAAGGGTCTGAATAATTATGACCATGTGATATTTCAGTTTTTCTTTTTTAATAAATTTGCAAAAATGTCTACATTTCTGTTTTTTTCTGTCAAGATGGGGTGCTGAGTGTACATTAATGAGAAATAAAATGAACTTTTTTGATTTTAGCAAATGGCTGCAATGAAACAAAGAGTGAAAATTTTAAAGGGGTCTGAATACTTTCCGTACCCACTGTATATCAACCTGTTTGTAAAGCAATCAATCCATCCAGCAAGTCCCAAAACACATCAGTTCAAACAATCTGCCTCTGTCCTTCATTTTAGCTGATCTGTGTGTCTGCGCCCTCATCCTTTCACATCTGCTGCAAACAGAGTGACGGTGGATCTTTCACTGTCATTGTCTCATATTTGTAGGAAAGTTATCCATCTTGGGTTGCTGACAGAATCTTTCAGCAAGTCTGTTGATCATCATTCATGTCAAAATGAAAACTCTCTCTGAGGTCTCTTGCTGTCACATATCATTATTCTTTTTCTCAGAGGAACATTTATGCAAATTTAAGCAAATGACATTACACCAGTTCTGCTCAATCCAATAGAGCAAAACATGCTTTACAAGTTGGATGTGATTACATTGTCATATACGTTAAGGTCAGAGCAATAGGCAGGTTCACAACCAGGCTGTACATTTAGTGGAGCATGATGGTCTTGTTTATGTTCTTTTGGATGATTTAGCTTACAGGTTAAGTCCAGAGTGTGACTTGAATTATCGCCCTCAGTTAATTTTGTATTAGTGGGCTTTCCAACCATGAAAAACTGCTGCCAGATTTCGACATCTGTCTTCTCAAACGCATAAACCTCGTTCTGTTGGCTTGTTTGCATTTGCTGGTTTGGAGTACTCCCAATAAACCACACAGTTGTTTGATGCACCACAGACCTGCCTTTTTCAGATTCTTTGGTCCAGTTACTTGGCTTGCATCTACATTTTCTCTCCACAACAGAACCAAGCTAAAGGATTAAATATGATCAAGTTAAAATAACCTGGGAGGATCGCCACCACTTTGTTGTTTCTAGTTCTTATGGTAAGCTGTACAGTGATTGTGATTTAGTTTTGCTGGCAGATTTAACTGTGCCAGACTGCTTGTCCATCTGTCTTACTTCCTTTTCTTATCTGGTTGTACACCTGTCTGTTTACCTGCCTGCGCTTGGGTCTATATGTCCAATTGATACAGGCGCATGGCTCTTTAGTATGTGTGCTTAGCTTATGAACACTGTGTTTACTTGCACCTTTGTTTAGAATAAAAAGATCAGAAAGGTATGAAATTGCATTTAAGCCCTTCAGAAAGTAGAGTATATAACACACCTACAGCTGATACATACAAGTAGATGGGGTCCAAACAGGTAAAATAACACCAAATACCAGTTTATGTTACCTTTGTGCAGCCTCAGTTGTTTTTTTAACAGATGTGTGACCACCATTATCCTCACATTTTCCTATCACCTGTGAGTTATGTGAAGCCTGTGAGCAATTTACAAGTTTATGACCTGCTGAACATTTAACCTAGATAGAATCACTGATGATAAAAAGTGTGTGATTGGACTTCTAGTGTGAGGACTACTTTGCCATGCTGACTTAACCTGCTCTTCTGTGCTCTGCATATACAGTAGCTCCTCTGCTGAGCACCAGCACAGAGGTCTTAGAGGCTGTGAGTTCTGCTTGGTTGCCCACATGGAGTCAAAGATCCAGGCAACGTGATGAGCAGACAGACAGAGCAGCGGCATGAGGCGGAGTTAATGGACAGAAAGGCAGATAGACAGGTAGAAACAGAGTCTGATGCAGTTTAAATGGACAGACAGAGAGATTGTGGTCACAACCCGAGAGTCAGACATAATGAAGACTTCTCAAAAAGCAATGTACAAGTACAGAAAAGACCCCAGGCCCTGCAGATGGTAGTGCCTTATCATTACCATTGCACACTCATTTCCATCATGCATGTACAATCCAGCTCTGTACATTGTCCGTTTATCACTTCTCCTCTCTGCTTTAGAGATCAACATCAAAACTTATTTAAAAATCTGTGTTAAAATAGCCGTGTTAA